GCGCCCAGCCAAAAGCAAGATTTTCTAATCTAGCACAGTGATGCTGTCATAGACACCTCCACTTGGCCAGAAGAGGAATGGAAAGAAGGGAAGATGTTGAGAAAACAGAGGATAGTTCATAATTGTGGCCCGACTTTAACTCTAAGGCATTTCAGAGTCTAGAATGGAAGATAGCCAGAAGACTAGAGGTAGGAGCTGGAGCCTTTGGTGCAGGTGGCAGAGGCTGCTCTCAAGGCAGCAGAATCTGTACCCCGAAGGCAGTCCTGGAGTTGATCTCAGGAACAAGGAGGTTTCTTCCTGACATGCGTAACCTGTTTCATTTCTTAGAGCACTGAAGCCAAGACTGGTACGTCATGGTTTTGAGCCAGATGCATTCCAACCAACCATGTTGCCTGAAGTAGATCCAAGCAGTAGCTGAAGCAGGTTATTGGCGGGAAGGGTGAGGAGGGTGGCTGCAGCTATGAGGCTGGGTCCAGTCCTTCCTCTCTCAGAGAGGAGGTGTGGTGCTGCTGCTATTTGCCTTTGAATTTTATAGTACTTTTTGATTTATAGAAGTTTAGTATTTTTATTTTGTCAAATCTATCGAATTTTTTTGGTGTGCCCTTTTTTGGGGTGTATCCTGGGCCCAGCCTCACCTTGTCATATTAGACTACTTAAGTGTTTTGTGAGCAGCTGAGGGGTTGGTTGCACTGGAGCCTCCCCCTGCCTCCACTTGTTCCCATCACCTGGGACTGGAAGTAGGTGACATATGGCACAAAACATGACCATGTGGACAGCAGGGACCATGGAAAAACACAGTGCATGAGACATGAATGGTGCCTCACATCTCTTGTATGAAATGCCTGATGATTGCTTTTACCACTCTCTCAATAAAAAAGACAGTAGACAAATAAGTTTCATGCTGGTGCATTAATGGACAAATTTCTAGAAAAATATAGCTCGTCAAAATGGGTTCAAGAAGAAATGGAAAGCCAAAATAGTCTCATAAAATTTTTTAAAATAAAAGCATT